ATCCGGACGTCTTTTAATTTGAATGGAATTAGGATCATCAAACATGAGTTTTATTCAATTTCAAACTCTTTGATCTTTATCTTTTCGAAAAGGATAAACTAGAACCTTCTAGAAACTTCAAAAAGAGTCCTAATTGATTTTGGATCGGAAATAAGATATTTGGACCCTCATATGATCATTGGGTCGTAGGTAAGGTAGGTCTAGGCTTGGTTTAGTATTTTGGCCATAACTTATTCGTTATAAATCGGATTTGGGCTTATAATATATAGTTTGAAAGCTCTTTTCAAGACCCATCCAACTAAGCAATAATTGGACTGGGATTGTAGACCAAAATAATTTGGTTCGGATATTTTTGTAAGTTGGACACGAAATGAATGTTTATGGGCTTAAAGACACGAAATGAATGATTTTGGATTAAAACAATTTTGGAAAGGTTAAGCATTTGGTCAACGTCATAGCTTAAGGAAACTTCGCGAGACTCTTCAACTTTTCACCGAACTCGTCAATCAATGACATGAAAGGTCCTCATCACTGGGTTTGGTTTTTGGGGAGACACAATTAGGTGTCTATAACTACGCATACATAAATATTCTTATGCGCATACGTACCTTGAATAGTGCCTAAACTCGGCCACACTCGCTAGAAAACACTTAGCTCAAAGCTTCCGACAAATTGAAATACATAACTATAGTTAATCCACTAATCTCACAATTTTCCAACAACTTTAATATACTCTAAACCTCACTAATTAACCTAATTTAATGGTTTAAAAGCCTTCAAACCTTTTCTGTAAGTGGGTACTTCAAATCCTTTAAAAAAGACTTAGTTTTCATGACTTAAATAAAATTCCAGCATACTTATTTAATATAAAACATCACTTATAGACTAGAAAATCATATTTAAATCATCAAGAACCTTTTTCCTTTTATGGGTAATCAAATCCTAACGTAATAATTAAAAAGTAATGTGTATAATTAAATTCCGGCATTAATTGAGGGTTTAAAACTCATTAACAACATGTCTAAATTATTAATTTAACCAAAACAACCTAGGATCAAACCCTGACCATAAACATTAAATTCCCAAATTTTAGGGTTTGTAAATTAGGGTTTTTGATTAAATTAAAATCGAAAAAATTATAGGAATAAATTAACAACATCAACTACCCAAAATCAACATCAAAATATAAGCAAAATCATGTTTTCAATTAATTAAAAGAAGCTAGAATTAAATTAGGAGGAAAGAGAGTTTTTTGTTTTTCTTTTATACCAAACCGCAAAGAGGAGAGAGAAGAGATGAGGGATGGTGGCGCACGGTTGGGCTGCCGGTGCTACCGCTGGCCACTGGTGGTCGCCGGTGGCGCATGGGAGAGAGGAGGAAGAGGCATGGGAAAGAGAGAGAAAAAGAGAGGAAAGAGGAGAGAGAGAATAAGAGGAAAATTTTTGGAGTTTTGTGAAATCTGACAATATGATTTTTGAGTGTGAAATTCTTGAGGTTTTGGGGTATTAATATCCCCATTAAAAAAAACACTTATTTACAAAACTGTCATTACTAATCATACTCCCCCTTGAATTGTTTTTTGAGGCCAACTTGTTGGGCTCTTAAGTGCTCTTTAATTCACAACATGTTGATCCAACAATTTAATTCATGTCGACCCAATTATAAAACACTTTATTGCCCCAAATAATGACTCATATTATTTTATACACACTTATTTTATTTTTAAATAATTAATTCTTTTAAAATGTATTTTAATTTATAAATAAAATAAATAATTTATATATATATATAATATTATAAAAATACTCAGTATTACATACTGCTAGAACCTTCACTTGAGGAACACCACGAAAAAAGTACAGTCCATCTTCACGTTCACCGACACCAATGACCCTCCTCGTCTGCAGGTCCTGTATAACACATATTTTGTTAGTAAATTGCATCACACATTTAGACTTATCACTCAATTGAGTTATAGATATCAAATTGCAAGTTAAATTAGGCACATAAAGAACATTGTCAAGTTGTAATCTGCCCGGCAATATCACATTTCCTAATTGATCCGGATTAGCCGACTTCCCATCGGCAAACCAATGAGGCAATTTTGAACACGCTTCACATTCTTGAGCATGTGACATGATTTGATGCCCCCGTATCTACAATCAAAGGTATAGTGTTTTCCTTACCATGCAATTGCTTTGTTTTTGGATTTAAAATATCCAAAATTTACTGAATTTGGGTAGCATTCACACCAACCAAACTTGCTGCATCATCAGTAGAGATAGCCTTCGATTGCTGACCATTAGACGAGCCTCCAGCCACCTTGTTTGAATGCACCGAATTCTGCGAGGAGGAAGAAGTTGCTGCCGAGTTATTGTTGTTATTATGGGACCCACGACCACCACCGCCACGCCCCACTCCTCATCCACCACCACGTCCGGGAAGTCACCCAGAGAAGTCTTCAATTGGCACACACGAGTGCCGCTAACCACACAAAACCTATTCTTAAGGTTTGTCTAGAGAATACTTGCATCATCATAATCACCAATCGTCGATCGTACCTTTGTATCGAGGGTATTAGTAATCCACGACACTAGCATGGAATGCACAATAATCCAATCCTCCAATTTCGAAGCATCAGCCACCGATTTTGCAATTGTACCATCTAAAAAACCAAATTTTCGCTTAGCCATCAAATCCCTTTGAATAGCTTGTACCATTCATCATAATTTTCTCCATGCATTGTATAGGCGTGATCACATTACCGGCACTATCACTCAATCCTATGTAATACGTCAAATCAATGGGAGGTTTTTTCACCCATCACGCACAATTTTCCTCACACGATTTAGGGAAAAAAAATTTAGGGTTTTAGTTTGGCTCTTCATACCATGTCAAATTAATCACAAAGTCTTAACTTTCTTATTCATCTTTCAAATATATTTATACAAGAGTATATCTTGGGGAATAATTAACTTATCAAGATAATATCACACAATATCACAATATCTTCCTAAAATATTATCATAAAGATATATTCCCATCTTAACAAAAGAAAAAAAAATTATAATCATTTAGGAGAAAAGTTGAAAAGTAAATTGAGGAAGGACAAAAGTAAAAAAAAAAAGAAAAAAATTGTTTGGTATCGTTTTTTGTTTTTAGATTATTTTTTTTTTTTAACAAAAAACCAAAAACTAGAAACAAAAAAATGTGTTTCCACTTTTTTGTGGTCAGTTTTCAAAATTATCATGATTTTAATAAGATTGACTTATTTTTTTATCCATTATATGACATATATCATACTTCCTCCGTTAACTATTAATTGCAACAAAGGGGTATTATTTGTGAGTTATAAAATATACCTTTGTTGCAATTAATATGTAACGGAGGATACATGATTTTGAAAAACAAAAAATCAAAAAACGGAAAACATAACAATACCAAATAAACCTTCGTTGTTATTGGTGTTTTAGTCGATTTGGTGACTCATACTTCAATCTTTGATTCGCTTACTAGGGTTTGTGGTTCATGTTTGGGAGTGTAAAAAAAATCCGATCCTACCATGTTATTTCGGTTTAGTTATCCACATGTTCAGTTTGGTTTTTTTAGTTTACTTAGATATATGCACACCTTTGTTGGTTACATCTAAAATCTTTATTTTGAAGAGAGAGAAATTTACCTATGAAGTATCTTTATCTTAAGAATATATATATATACATACATACATACATACATACATACATACATACATACATATATATATATATATATATACACACACACACATAGGTTTCTAAAATTTTGTTTACCTGAATTTCATGCGATTCGATCTTGTCATTAAATATGCTATAATTTGTCTGCGATCTCTGTGATTCAAGTATTTTTGTTCCAGAATCTATTATTTAGTTGAAGGTAAGTTGTTCGACCTCTTTCTCTATTTTTGTTTTTCGATAGGCTAGGTTAAATTGCCTATTTAATTATTTTACTAGTTGTAAATCAATTTGTTGATTGTTGTTAATCGATTTGTTTTTTAGTTGTTTAACTCTTCTCTTGTTAGTTCTTAGCGACTGAGATCCTTATTCTTTAGTGTGATTTTGAATTTTGCCGATCAAATTAGGGAAGCATGAAAATCTGATTATAACTTATTGTCAATGATAGTTGATAATTTTAGAGTTTTTTTTTCAGATTTTTTTTTTCTCATTTTTTTTTGATCGCTCTGGCAATTGATGAATCTTTGCTCCGTTTTTCTTTTGTTGATTGATGAGGAGTGTGTTTTGTTTTTTTACTTTTGAAATGTTTGATGCATTTTATTGCATTTTTTAGAATCAATGAGTTGAATTTGAGTTTTAAATTTGCTGAATTTCATTTGGTTATTGTTAGATTTTTGGAAGAAAAAAAATGGTTAGAGCTTGATGAATTAATGGGCCGAGTCAAATGCCACTTTGTTTTCTTCATTGCACCTCAAAAAGCAGTATACCATGTTTTTTTAACAAGAAAATAGAGGTCGTATATTTTCCTGTTTTAGGAAAAAGTGGAGGGTTATAAATGTCGCATAATGCATAATAATGGTTGATAAGATTTCTAAATAAATTGAGAATACGAATGAACAAAAGAAGTGAACTCTATTCAAAGTTCCTCATTCTGTGGCCTTCACTGTATTTTCTAGGATCTGGCTACTAAATTCTAAAAAACTGAGAAGCAAGCAAATTTCATAGTAAATTACTAAAGTCCCAGTAATACACTTACAGAGTAATCTTGTAAACTTGAAGTGATCTTCCTGTTTCATTTGTAATGTCACCATACTCACCAAAATGTCAGTAATTCAATGAGTTACTAGAAACCGAGGCCCGTAAAAATATTTAATTGATGAAGGGTGAGCAGTTGCATGAACTTAGATGTATGCTGGTGTACTTAATTATGACTCCTACTCTGGCCTTGAAATGGACATGTCCAACTTGTACCAATGTATATATTTTATTCGGAATAATTCAAAATGATTTTCTCACTTTTTGTTCATTTCATTCGATTTGGATTAGATTATATTCATATGGTGAGAACTAGAGGTGGTGCATTCTTGAGTTTGATACATATCCAGTGAGCGAGAAGCTGCAATTTGAGGATGGACAAGTTGTTAATAATCAATTCAAGAAAGCTCCTGTGAATCAAACTTCTGGAAAAGAATATGTTATTAATGAAGGTGTTCGTAGCAATGCTAAGGGTGTTATTCAATTTGAGCTACCTGCTAGTTCAATGTCTAATGTGGAAATCCGTTCAATCGCTATTGGTGTAAGTATTTTGCCCTCTAATTCTGTTTTTTTTTTTCCTTTTTTTTGTCACAAATTATTTTACTAAATCTAAGTGCTACATTTTTTTTCATAGTAAGTTTATAAAAAGTTTTTGCTCGTGAAAAGAGATTTGGAAGTGGTATCAAATTTCTACATGGATGAGTTGAAAGTTTTATTTCAGACTTGTAAACCTAATGATGCTTCCACTTCGATACCTCCAATGTCCCAAAGTGATTTATTCTTTATGGATCCTCGTGTTCATGATATTGTTGATGAGATTGTGTCTCTTGTAAGTTGGGTAAGCAAAGTGCCTATTGATGATAATGGTGCACCTGCAAAAGAGATTAATGTTGTAGTTGGTGAAGTTCTAAGGATAGGTTTTGAGCATGTTTTGAATAATGGAAAATCTAAATGTTCCTTGCTGTGGATGTTAGTCTAATTGGTGATAAAGTTACATATATAACTCAATATATGAAGTCAAGTAATAAGGATATGAAGATTTTGGATACAGTTGTCCAGGAACTTGTTGACTACTACATTAGTGATTACCATGGTTTCGATCTCAAGTAAGTCATGTCATGGTTCTTTTTGTTATTTATTTTTCAAATTTTAATAATAAGTGACTATGCTAATATACATGTGTGTTTTTATATACTTGTACAGTGAGGTGTTGGTATCTTTTGGCAAACCATTTGAGATTACAAGGAATGATTTCCTTTCATTAGGTGAACCGACTTTTGCTATATCTTCTGGTATTATTGATTGTTGGGCTTTGTTGCTTAATGAAAACCAGAAGAGTAGTGCACATGTACCTCAAAAACTATATTTTGGTGTCTCTCAAAGTGTAAGTATCTTTCGGCTATTCAGTTACTATATTATTATAAAGGTAGCTGTTCATTATAAAAGATTCATAAATTAATTTCATTATATTATGAAAACGGTCACTATGTAATTCAAGTAATCACATTTAAAAATAATAGCTCTACCTTCTATTTTTTTTTTTTAATATTTATTAATGTTTGATTGATTTTTTTTAGGCTTTTTTACTGGAAGTTGGAAACAAAGATAGTAACACACAAGAAATTGACAAGCTATTTGACATTTGGTCAAGATGGTTGTTCATTCCTTGCAATGATTTTGATCTTGCAAATGTTGAATTGGTAATACATTGCAAATGTTGACAATCATTTTTCAACTAAATACTTTTATATTAAGTTTTTCAAGCTTAATAGTTGTTTATTTATTGCAGATTTTTGTTCCTATACTCTTGAGTGAGCACTTCTTCCTAATTGTTGTGAATTTGAAAGAAGAAAAGCTTCAGTTCATTGATAATATGAGTTATGATACGAAGTACATGAGTGAGGTTGAGAAGTCCTCTGATGTTCTGGTAAAAATGTGATGTTTTGGATTTTATTTGTATTTTTCTATTTAGGATATGTTGTATGGAACCTAAAGTATTATTATATTATGCCTAGAGTGATATGATGAGTACCTTTCTTGGTCAATGCCTTCCTCGAAAACAGAATAATGATAGTGGCATTTATACTATGGTCAACATGCTTTACTTTGATGGAGCTAATGTGTTCAACTGCGATGTTTTGAGAATGGTTATTATTCTCATTTTTTTTATTTGGCTTTTAATTTTTATTATATTAACTATTTCCTCCATGGAATTTAACTAGCTTTTTTATTCTAATTTTTGTTTTAAATTAATATATTAGGTTTCAATTAGACGGGTATTGAGAGCTTAGATTGCTGGTACCCTGGTATTGTCTGATATGAACACTGTTAGAGATGAAGTTCTTAAAAAGCTATCTGAATTAAAATCAATAAAGAGTCAAGTTAAAAGTTGCCAATTACTATGTGATGCAAAAGGATCACTATGAGATGCAAGAGCGTTACTATGTGATTAAAAAGATTTCTATAATAATATGTCTCTATTTAAATAAAAAGGTCACTATGTAAGGTAAAAGTGTCGTATTTATATTAATCAATTCTTAAGCTATAAATTAGTATATCAATTAAAAGAACGAGCCCCTCCTTCCCTAACTTTTTATTGGCTTAATCTATGTTGGTTAGGGGAGCTGAGGGGGCTTAGAAGAATTGTGAAAATGTGAGTATTTTTTATAACGGTTTCTATATGATAATAAAGGTCATTATATCACTAAAAAGGTTCACATGGAATAAGGTTCCAATACGATGAAAAAAAGTCACTATGACATTAAAAACACATCTCTCACTATGACATTAAAAACACATCTATAATATAAATTGAAGTTATCATATGCTAATATGTCACTACATCAAAATAACAATATAAAGGTCAATAAAAATTTTAACAATAAAAGGTCACCCTATCAATAAAATTTTAACAATAAAAGGTCCCTGTTTAATATATGTGTAACAATAACAGTCACTGTATCAATAAAAAGGGCACTATAGCACTATGTTCTTTCTAATTCTCTCCTCTCATCTCCTCTATTTCAACACTAGGCCGTCAGTAACTGATGTTGCTTCCTGTAAATATGAAGTCGTTTTGCAGCCTTTCTACTCTTCTTTGAAATCCTAAAATCATGTACATGAACACATATAAAATGAAAATCTAGTAGGAAGTAAACATAGTACAAAATTTATTTATTTTTTTCTAAAAAAAATTACCTCATTCAAGTTTGATTTTTTTTTTTTTCGGACAATTCCAACTATCATGGTGTGTTCTCTGACGACAAGTTCTACAAAGTCTATCTTTCCTTTGGCTTTATTCAATAGCAATCTCTTTGTCAGATTTTTTTCCTTTTCCCACTACCACTACCTTTGTTGGAAGGCTTGTTTGGAGGAAGAATATCAGCAACAATGTCATTAGATCGAACAAATAATTCAATGTGCTTATTTTTTGCCTCGCGTTTATCAACTGGACTTTCAGAATCCAAGTCTTTCATATCATTTTCAAAAGATATTAGCTTAGACAACAATGACTCAAGGCATTCAACTTTCTCCTCACAAAGACTTACACATGAAAAAAACTTGTACCATATGTCACCAACTAGCTTTTGCTTCTTATCCATCTCTGCCCCATCAAGCAAGTTGTTTAAGCCAAAAATTGGTTTCTTCATAGCTTCTTTAGTCCAACGATGCAAAACATATTGCCTTGGAATCTCAAATAAGAACTTTCCTTTCATGACAAAGAGAATATGACGACATAATATTCTAACAGATTCAAACATTTTACAAGAGCATGAAGCATCATTAGAACACAAAACATATGTGACATGATAACTTTTTTTCCTTGTGTTGTCAACAATTCTATATTGCTCAATCCCTTCTTCTTCTTTGATGGTAACACTACTTATACCACAATTGTACAAAGCATGCTTGAATTCCTTTTGGAATATGTAAAATACATTATGAGTGTAAACTAATGCAGCATGCTTTTCCAAGTGCAGGGGGGTGACAAGTTGGGGATGAGTAGTTTTCAAAGTAGCATTCAACTAGTCTTGTGTGTGCCTTTGAGCATCGATTTCAGATTCATAGCGAAACCACAACTCAACCAATAACAAATGCTGATTGGTGAAATTAGTGAAAAAGCTATTTTCACTCTCTGTTCTTTGAGTTGACCTTAAAATCCCACCCATAAAAAGGTCACGAAAGTAGGAAGGAATCCACATATTCCTTATATTATACATATTTTTAAACCAATCTTCATTCACTAAATCAAATTCAGACATCACAGACTGCCAACAAATTTCAAATTCTTCTGGTTCAAGGTCTCTATTCCACACAACAGAGTTTAGTTTATGAAGAAAGTCAGTTTCTAAGCATAATTTGGGCTCAACCTTTTGTTGCACTTTTTTCATAATGTGCCACATACAAATCTTTTGCCTTATCAAGAAATTTTTCAATTGCCACTTTCATCGCAGGGTCTTGATCTTTTATGATACAGGTAGGCTGACAGTTATTCATTGCCTTTAAGAAACTTTCAAATAACCATTCAAAGGATTCAATATCCTCCTTTGCAAGTAAGCTTTTCCCAAAAGTCACACAGTTACCATGGGGATCAACACCCGTAAATGGGGCAAAAACCATAGAGTATTTGTTGGTGTCAAATGTTGTATCAAATGTAATCATATCACAGAACAACAAATAATTTTTTCTACTAATTGCATCTGCCCAAAATACTCTTGTCAAGCGTTGATGTTCATCCATATAATGCTCAAAGAAAAAGGCACCTTCACTGTTTTCAGCTTTTTCTTTCAAATTTTTTATAAGCATCGAAGCATCTTTCTCTTATATGTAAGCTTTCAAATCTCGATTAAAGTTCTTGAAATCATTCAATGTTGCACCTATATTATCATAGCTACCAAGATGTTCTTTCATCAACTTATAAGACTTGTTTGGACCAATGTTCAATTTAGAGTTGTCAAAAATGAAATTTTTTTTCTGGCTAAGTTTAAGGTTTCCAACATTTGCCAAAAAATTCATAGTGTTGGGAGAAGCAAGATTGTGGCTATGAGATTCATGAAAGACATAAACCATCCATTTTCCATCTAACGTTCCCTAAACCCAATCATTGCATTGCATCCAACACGATTTAACGTTCTTTTTCTAGCTTTAGGCTTTTCATCTTTCTTAGCAACTCTTGCTTTAATTTCACCATCCTTCGTAAACCCTTGATATTACAGTATGAATATTTCAAGTAGACTTTATCACTATCCTTAATTCTCTTTTCAGTACCTAGTCTTACCACAAACCCACCAAATCTAGCATATTGCTTATAAAAATCAACACCTTTAAGTAAGGAATCAAAAAGCATACCAAGTGTAGGCTTTAGTTCAGGGGGACAACACGGTATGAACTCTTTTGTTCCTCTAGGAGTGTAACACACACTTGGGCCCTTTAGTGACGGCAAGTTTTCAGCAACATTGGTAGTTGTAGATGTATTTGAGGAACTACCTTCTTCTGATTCCTCTTCCATTATCTGCATATAAAATCAAATAATATGGTTTAAAATGGGTACCGTAATAAAATAAATATGACCATTCCATGGTGCAACTAACTGAGCACCAACAAAACAATCTACAATATATGGTTATAGTATCATAAAAAAGAGTTACTGTATGGTATTGAGCAAGGTGTTAGTCATTCAAGCAAATACACAAACACCTTATGTGCGACAATTTCTCCTAGTGTCTAATATCATATATCCAAGAAAAAAACTTCAATACAAAAAAAAAATATTTATATTGCAAATTATATTGGTTGAATCGTTACAAAAACGAAAAAAGAGCATAGAAAAAAAAACTTCATTTGAAACTAAAAAACAGAGCAAATAAAGTCATTCAAGCAAAATCACAAACACCTTATGTGCAACAATAGAAACCTTCACAGATGAAATGATTGAAACTTGTAACCTAAAAAATCAAGGAAATAATATCAAAATAGCATATTTATATGAAAAAAGAACATAACATAAACTTAAATTCATGGAAAACGAATAAAAATCAAACGTGATACATAGATAGTGATTTCAGCAACATTGATAGTGAAACGAATTGGATGAAAAAATATACCTCAGAATCCATTCGTCAATGTGATTTAACAGTTCGTGATTCTTAATTGAAAATTTTTCGTGGAAATTTTGATAACTAATCAATGAATTTTTCACAAAAAAATTTGGGGGAAAAAGGTTAGTTGTAGGAGAGAAAAAGCTTGGGTAAATCCCTTTGAAATTTCTGGGTTGTATTTCAACCGTCAGATTATCTCATTAATCATCAACGGCTGAGATTTACTGTTTTTAGTTTTCACTATAAGCCCTATTTTCAGCAGAACCCTCATATATATATATATATATATATATATATAGGGTTGGGATCCGGTGAGAACCACCCTTTATGTGAGAACTCACACCTTATGTGAGGACAAATCTCAGCCGCTATATTAGATCAAATCCAACAGCTGAGATTTTCTCTCTTCTCTTCAGATTTTCTCTCTCTTCCTCCAAGTTCTCTGATTTTCTATGCTCTTCCATTTCTTCGCTCTTCAATTTCTTTGCTTTTGCTCATCAATTTCTCGCGATAATCTGTTAAGGTATGTAAATTTCAATTTAATTTTGAATTTGATCGATTTTGAAACATGTTTTTGCGATTTTGATTTCGAATGAGTTCAAGTCGATTTTTGATTTTTCTGATTTGATTTTCAATATTTTTGGCGATTTTAGGGTTTAAACTTCAGTGATTTGAGGGCTGGAATTTTCAGCAGATTTAATGTTCGAATTTCAATGATTTTAATGTTCGAATTTCAGTGATTTTAGTGTTCGAATTTCAGCGATACTACGTAATTTCAGCGCTACTCTTGATTATTATTGTTTGATTTTTTATTTTATTTTTTGCGTCATTTTACCATTTTTTGTGCGGTTTATGTGCAGTTTTATTGAATAATTTTGTTGTGATTAATTAGTTGGTGTGCTTGTATTTTGATGTTACTGTGTTAATTGAGAATAATTTATATTGGGATTCTGGGTTGTGTTGAGGATTGAGAATAATTTGGCTACTTCTATTGTTCTGTGTAGGACTCTAAAAGAATTGGTATGGTCACACACTCACACTTCGATTAATTATGTATATGTATATACTTTTTTTTTCAGTTCCTTCTAGCAACTACATGAGAACTTCAAAGGTCGGAATGTTTAAAATCTCGGAGGGATGTTGCTAATACTCTTGCAGAAAGAGCAGCTCGTGGTGATTTAAGTGGTGAAATTTTCCATTGGGCTAATGGTAATCATCATAATGTTCGTCTATATGAGAAGTTGTTGCTTAGTGTCTT